TCCCTATTGGCCATTTGCCTCCCTCTCTGCCTTGTATGTTACTACATTATATGTTTATGTTATAAATGTTCTGGGAAAAGGACTGTTCTTTACTGTATGTGTGCGCAGCATGTAGACATTTGGATTCTGTCAGAAATAAATGTGCAAGGGTTGCAACAAATCTGGCCCTCATAATGCTAAGAGGGATGGTGCTCCCAGTCAGCAAGCAGGAGTTTTTCAAGAGGAGTCTGACTGAGGAAAGGATTTCCAAGTACAAAAAAAACCTGACGACTATCGACCTACAAGAACGGGGTCCTATACCCTAATTAGGGCACTAACTATCAGTATAATACAAATAAATAAACAAAAAAATAGCAATAACAACATTTTAACTTGTGATTGGAAGTCAGTGGTCAAAGTCACTTCATTATTGCTGTTGCAGTTGGCTGTCATTTCCCATTCAGCTGTTTGCAGTTAGGTACCACTTCATGGTAGATAAACCATTACCAGCTGTGGGGTACCAGTACTTACACATTAATTATCGAAGCTGACAATTCTGTGTCCTGTAACACACTGAAATTCCAATCTCTCTTAGATACAAGGAGGAAATAAGAGAGTCAACATTTGGCTTTAATTTTCCTGCAGCTCCCTATTATTTCTGGATTCTATAAAGCTTGAAGTTTCTTTTAAAAACTAAGGATTTACTTGAAAATGAGTGAATACCTAGTTAAAATGATAAGAAGTAATATAAATGAAGGCTGGAAAGTGTATTATCTGAACTGGCGCGCACACAGTTTTACATGCGCACGTATACACACTTCTATAAAATCTAAACCCATATATTTTATTAAAACAGCCTTAGCTCTGACCCATGAATAATCCACTTTTGTTATCTGGAGCATTCTCTGTTACAGGATACTGTTTTACTTGCATGCCTATCAATTGACACTAGAATTTATGCAAAAAAGTTCAAGCAGTAGGCTAAATAGAGCTTCATTGAAAAAAGGTGCAATAATTTACTAGGACAATTACACATAACATGGATATATAGGTTTCTTTTTGGAAAATCTGAAAATATATTACACATGCCAGAAGTGCACATTAGTTATTTGAACATTTGTCTTCAGATAACTAAAAATAGCTTTCATTTTGGATCAGAATTAAGGAAGCTTTTAGAAAATGTGAAATTCCTTAACACTGATAAAAGTCGTTGTTCCAAAGCTTCAAATGCACATGCTATCGTCTCAAACTAAAGAAAGAGGATGACCCCATGTTGTGGAACTGGTACAGACACTTTATTCAAAGCCCAATGTTGGGATCACTGTTAGCTATAGAAAGAAACATAAGCTCTTATTAAGCTGCAATCAGTTCACACAGAACCACACACACACACACACACCACTATATGATGCTGCCCACAGTTAAATCGATGGCAAAAACTGCTTTAGAGCAAACCTAGCTCTCCAGCAACTTAAGAGATATTGAGGACTTGTTTTTATTTTTCCTTGTAACAGGGGACCTGCTCAGGGCCGACTTCCCAGTGGCTCACCCACCTGTTCCTGGGCTAGCCGTCCGCGTTCTTGCCCACCATGCCTTGTTGGTATAATTAATTAATGGATGTTAATTAAGTGGGAGGCTGCCTATTTACTGCCCCGATGCCAGGGGGCGCTATTTGTGGCTCCATTCCTCCGCTACACCGCAGCCCAAGCCTCGCAGATGGCATCTAGATGTTCTTATCGTCACTGGGCCCCAGAATCCTACTACTGAACCCTACCTGGATTCCTTCCCCTCAGGCGGTCTCTTCCTCCATCATACCGGGCACCATAGCTCCCTGAACCGATTCCCCTTCAGGTGTGATGCCCCCACTGGGACCTTTGGCTCTCTAGCCCTGACCCACCTCCAGGCCAGTCAGGACCCCAGGCCCTCAGCTCTTGGGTGTTCCTCGCGG